AGAACGTCAAAGAAAAATAATTAAAGTTCTCTAGTGAAACTATTTGCTCATTCCAAGGAGAGGAACGAGCAAGAAACTCCAAACGGATATCCGAAAGATAGATTTTGTGCAAATACTATTATAAAAATGTAAAATTAGACACAATATGAAATGTTACAAACAATTAATAATATGATATCAATATAATGACCGTAGACAAATACAAAACAAAGACAAGAGCTCCGGCTCGAAGTGCAGAAGTAGGAACAGGGTGGTTTTTAGTCAGTAAGAGTCTGACACTCCCTCCCGCCTCACCCAGAGGGGAGCAGACATTCGATGATTTTCTCCTCTTGAAAAAAATACAAATACAAAGCAATCACAATGGTTTTAATAATACACGGTTGGCGCGGTCGCTGGGAAATTGGCTGCCGCAAAACGTGTAGGGGGTTCGATTCCCGCACGGAGCAACAATTTTTGCGATCCACAAATTATTGATTCGGTTTTGTGGTGTATGTGAACTTGTATGTTTGTAAACACACCCACGACACAGGAGAAAATCCTAGTGTGGGGCAACGTTTTGTTAAAAAAAAAACACAAATATATAGTGTCAAACACCGCGAGGACACCGGTGACCGCAACCTATTTGTTGAAGTGGTGGATGTGGTTGAATAATAGATAATAGCTTGTTATATTTCGTAGTTTTATTAAAAATCACACAGAAAGCACATGATGGGCGCCATGCAGACGACAAAAGGGAAGAATACAGATGATATATCGACGTCTATGAGAAACTTGCCAACTTAACACTAGATGGCGCTACTTATATTATTTAACTTAAGATTATAATATTTACCTTATTACAACACTATTGTTCTTTAATTCTGTCTATAGTGACGGTACTCAAACGGATATATTATATTATAACTATAAATTAAATAAACCACACAGAACCCATTATTATCTATATCAACTCGAAGTTACTCACTTTTAACTGCATTCACGAGCTAGGAGAGTCCAACGTCCAAAGCTTGCGTGTAACCTACTTAAGTTATTAGTCCGACAAACGCTATCGTGGTGATAATTACTTTAATATTGATCATTAGGTAATATATGGTGTATGTAGGACAGGTGGAAGACTATGGACACGTAGAAAAGAAAGATAGATTTGTTTTATGTTATTGAATGGATGGAAAAAATAAACATATTTGTATGTTGCCCGCGAATCGTCTCTGTAGAATATTATGATTCCTATTTCATCCTATGGGAGTAGTTAATCGGGATACAAATCACCTGTAACGGCATAGCCTATACTAAAGATGTGTAATGTTTATTTTATTTTATTTATTTATTCAACTTCATACAACAAGTGTGTACAGGTGGACTTAATGCCATTGGGCATTGTCTCCCAGTCAACCTTTAAGCAGTGCAGAGATGAAAGTAGCAGGTGATTTAAACCTTTATAAATAGGCAATGTACCAGTGTAATAAATAACAAATCTCACAATCAGAATATACAATAAACACTATACATATAGGTATATTTGAAAACTTATGCATACTTACATATAATAACGTTTTAGTGTTAGCTAAGTTTGTATTTAGTAGGTACCTAATTATATAAACAATGTACAACTGTATGTCTCAGCACTTTCTGTGGAATTGTCGTTTATTAACCCATTTGGGACCAAATGCAAACTACACATAATTTAATAAAAAAAACTTTATTAACTCAATGATATGACGCCCACAAACTAATATCAGCAAAAAAAAATCAAAAATTATTTTTAGAAGTATTAAAAAAAATGCCGTCCTTGATTGGGGACAACGGTCTCATGTGTAGTACTTTTCGAAGTAGTAACTGTTTTCGACACATAAGGTTCTAACGCATTATTTGCATTGGTATCACAGTTTTTTTATGATGAACTGCGTATCGTAACAGATATTAACTAAATCTCTGCGGAAAATGTCTAAATCAATTTGATGTGACGCTCCTATATTTTTTTTGAGGGTAAAAATCATGCATTGCGTTTTCCGCCTGGGGGACTCTTACTGGCTAAAAACCAACACGTTCCTAATTCTGCTTCAAGCCGAAGCCCCGGTGACCCACTAGGTTATTCATAGTAGTCGGGCATCTGTCCCACTGAGCCATCTCGATCTAAGGCGGTCTGATCTGCACTTTGAAGCACGCGCGTAACGCCACGCACCTTACAGGTACAGGTCTGGTTCTGGGTGGCGATCTGTTCTTGCTACTATGACTGCTTCGCAGAAAGAGTTGTTTTCCAGTTCCCCTCGCTCCGCACCACAGCCAGAACCTAAGCTGGACGTGGAAGATTATCGTCGTCGATCACTTCCCTGAAGACACGGCGGTGGTCAACGTATACAGGGCATAATGCTACTCTATCCTCTGGGTGGACTTCGCTGTGACGACACCAGAATACAGCTGGAGGAAATGCCCCCTACTGCTGAATTCTGATATCGGATGCGACGCCTGGTACTGTAGGTGGACTTTTGCATCTTCGGTCTTGATGCCCATCAGATTTTAGAATATGAACGCGTAAAGATATGTGGGAATTGGTGATGCTCTTCGTGAATTAGCGTCTGTTGTCACCAAGTATTAGCTATAACTAAGTTTAGCCTATAGGTGACCTTTATAAATTGGAAAACAAAATACAAATCAGGTATAAATGTTTTAAAAATATACTACAGATGTGCCCATTGTCCCCATACGAGGACACCATCAGTTTTTCTAACTTTCCCCTAAGCGGAATTGAAAGTATAAGGATATTCTTCAATATTGTTTTAATTGACACTATAAGCAAGCATTAATCACAAAAAAGTTTTATAAATCTTCATAATAACGTACTACAAAACGCCTCTGCTTTCAATAATAATTCCCATTTCACTTCCTCTTGATAAAATTGACAATATGACCCCTTTTTTGTAGCAATTTGTCAAAAGTTCTAATAATTTTAGGAAAGTACACTACTCCTCATTATAAATACCCATGAAATGTGAAGATAGCTAAAATAATTAATAACCAGCGGGTAAAAGAAAACCTGTCCCCATATGGGGACGGCGGGCCCAAATGGGTTAAGAAACAATACATGAGTTAGTCGTCACCAGTCTCTATTGTGTCTACACCTAGGATCACCCACTAAACACATAAGACAGCCCATACTCTGCCTATATACCAAATACCATCAATATCCGTTGAGTAATTTCAGTGTGATTGATGGATAACAACAAAAAAAAAACTTTCACATTTATAATATTTGTGTGTTTTATATACAAATATGGCAGAAGAAATGGTTACGTTTGACATAAACAAGATGTACTTACATTCCATGTTTTAACACAATTGAAGTCAAAACAGTTTTAATCGGTAAAACAGACACGTCACAAAGATTTTAGATTGTCATAAAAACAATGTCCTCTATACGACAATAAACTGACGCGGAGAACCTAACGGGTAACCGGGGCTCGACGTGCAGGAGAAGGAATGGGGTTGTTTTTAGTCAGTAAGAGTCTGACACTCCCTTCCGCCTCACCCAGGCAAGAGCAGTCATTCGCTGACATTAGCCACTAAAAAAAAAAATACGACAGTAAACTCAACTCAGTAGCAGTGCATCAGTCGCCGAGTCGCGGGTCGCGGAATGCTGATCATGAACATGAGCCTGCCTCTAGCATGGTATGAAACTAGTCGAGTTCCTCGTCAAAGCTTATGGGACGACGTGCTCCATCGTATAAGACCGCATTCTCAAAAAAAGCAGTTACGTGAGTAAGCCGAAAAACAAATGAATTGACTATAAACTATTTCATTACAAATATAACATCACGCCTTTTACCACTTTTCACTATTTATGTTATGAGTGCCATGTAATAGGGGGTGAGCATATTGCCATAATTATACCGGGCACATTTCCAGACTCCGTGCTATTATTGAGTTTTTTTTTGAACCCAGTATTACTTTGCCCGACCCGGGAATCGAACTCGAGACCCCTTGCCCGGCAGTCACACTCGGCCAACGAGCAGGCAATTATTTTATTATTCATGAAAATATATAAACTAACACAATCAAAAAACTACATTATCTTCAGTAAAGCTCAAAAATTTACCCAAAACTTAACTAGAAACTTAAATGAAACTTTGTCTTTCATAACAACTCACATTTAAAACTATGTAGTTTAAGATTTATTTATAAAATAAATGTTTTCATTACTGTAGTTGTTATTTCCCCCAGTTAACTGTTACGACTTCCGCGAAAGGTTATAAACGGTAAGCCTCTATTACACCGTATAGGTATTTCCTGCTGTAACACTAGGCATTATGATCAACGACTTTGTAGCGTACTTAGGTTCGTGATTGTAATCTGTACTATACATACTTATTTACTTAAGTTTCTACCATGCTTGTACTGATATGAATGCCACTAAGTTTATTATTGCCAAAATAAAGTTGTAAACCATAACGAGGTTTATTTTGAAATTCTAGTAACGTGATTACGAGATTGTTTTAGAGTAAGAATATTGAAAACATAACAATACTGATTTACGATTTACCGCATCAATCTCTGATTTGTGCGTGACTTTTACCAAGTTAAGCATAATACTTGATTTTTTAATACCTACATTATTGACTTACAATTAGTTGTGTTTCAAAAAACCTTTTTTTGATGGGAAAAATCATTCAATGACTTCTCCCGCCTTGGGTTAGGCAAGAAGGAGTGCCAGAATCTTGCTGACTAAAAACCACCCCGTTTCTATTCCTGCTCTTTGATCCGGAGCCCTGGCAACCTGCTAGGTCTTACGCGGATGCGTATCGTGCGTCCGCCCTACTGAGCCTCATCTGTGATGGTGTTTTGGCTCTTTGAAGCGCGTGTGGAAGGACTAAAAATTATAAGTGTAGGTCATCACGTACATTGATTTTGTCTAAGAAGAGTAATTTTACAAACAGTTTATTGCCTGAATCAAAAGATGGATAGTAGAACAAATTTTAATCAATTTATTATTTTCTGTTGTTTAGTGGAGAGTTACGTGGGCAGTTCGCTGCCGCTGTGGCGCGTGGACCGCCGGCAGATGGGCGCGTTCCTGTGCATCGCGGCCAATGACGTGCCGCCCGCCGTCAGCAAGCGGATCATACTTAATGTTAACTGTAAGTACATATTATCATTAATTAACATCAACAGCCGATAAGAGCCCATGGCTGAGCAAAGCCTCTTCTCACGCGGAGAAGGTTTGAGCATTAATCACCACACTTGCTCATTGCGGATTGGCAATTTCAAACTTATAATTAGAAATTATAAGTCTAGGTTTCCTCACGATGTTTTCCTTCACCGTTGAGTAGTGTCTAGATAATCTTAGAAAGTACATACAACTCGGAAAAAGTCACATTACAACTTACTTGCTGTTGGTAGGTTTCCAGCCCGCACCCTCATGCATGAAAATTAGGGGTTTAGGACCCCTAATTTTAAACCTCCACCACTACATTTATTTGACCTAACCCAATAGTTTTTAATGATCCAAATTTGCCATTAATTTGAAGATTTAGAGGTTACGAAACGGTGCAAGAAGTTTGGAATTAACTTCTGTAATAACTTTGATCGACGAACCAGAGTACCAAGCACGAATAACTATCGCATTCGTAACGTAATAGTATCGAGCGCGTTCGGCGCTCTGATTAGCCGGCTCAAGTGAACCAACCAATCAGAACGCTTAACTCGCTCGATACTGTTACGATACGAATGCGATAGTTATTCGTGCTCGGCCCTCAGTTCTTTTTTTTAGTTCCCATCACAGTCTTATCAGGAGACCCTCAAAACCATACCTTACCCCAAAAACCAATATAAACCACCCCTCTTTGTTTGTCACTTTGAATAATATAATCCATTCACGAGACCAACCGTCACGAATTTGGATAGCATCCAAAATGATATAAGTTTCCCTCTAGCAGTAACAAGAATACGTGACTTCACAACGTGTACCAGCTTCGAAATAGATGCAAGATTTATCTTTCAATTTTGAAAGCACTTGTTTTGATACGCAATTGTTTCTGTGTAGTTCTTTTGAGATCAATAGTCACATTGCTAAGAGCCTCGTTAGTGCTGCAAAATCTGATCATTATTTAAGTTAAATTCTTATTATTATTCTTAAAAAATGCTATACCTGTGTATGATTTTAATGTTTTCAAAAGTTGATTACTAAGAGTCATTGATAATAATTGGGACACTAATTAGGTTTTAGTGGTGAAACTGTTCGGGGAAGTTACTCGAATGCTTTCAAGTTACAATAGGGGCTCATAAATTATGAACAGCATGCTCAACGACCTACGTCGCGATTGAAGTTGTTGAGAATGTAGGAGATCCAAATTGTAGCTCATAAATAATAGTAACACAGATTTCTTGAACAAATACTGAAACTAATATCTCGTGTTCAGCAAGTCGTCTCAAGATAAATGAGAAGCGTTACAAAGTAACTAAAACTTTGTATACATTAACACCAACAAGAAATATATTAATAATCTTGAAAGTGTAAATTGAAAGAACTTTTGACGGCATAAGATTAACTGCAGTCAACAACGGCTTAGAGAAGTTGTATTAAAATTTCAAACAAGTATAAAACTAGGGATTTAATCATATTCTATGAATTTTAATGACGTATAATGAGAAGACAGACCCCTGAGTATTATCTTATAGTTGCAGACGTTAAAAAGTATTTTTTGGTTTCTTTTTCTCGAAGCTCTATTTACATAAATGAATCTCTCACTTACAATATAGCTACTAGACAAGCTTTTTCAAGGATAATGTTGTATTGTTATTGAAGTTAAGGATTATTCATCAGCATGGGTCTTTCAAAAAATGGGCCTTGAGTACGATTCGTGAAAATTAATTATATACCAATATTTTAGAGTGCTAGTACTACAATTGAATTTATAGAATGTAATTATAAATTATGTCGTGGTGGCCTGGAGGTTTAAGACCCATCAATGGCTAGTACCAATGTGACTTTTCCGAGTTATTTGTATTTTCTAAGATTATTTAGACACCACTGAAACACTACGGTGAAGGAAAACATCGTGAGGAAACCTGAACTTATATTTTCTAATTATAGGTTTGAAATCGCCAACCCGCATTGAGCAAGCGTAGTGATTAATGCTCAAACCTTCTCCGTGTGAGAAGAGGCTTTGCTCAGCAGTAGGCATTTAATGGCTGTTGATGATGAAATATAAATGTTAATATAATTAAGATTTTCATCAGTAATTTTATAAGGCAATAAATACATAAAGAACAAAAATTTCCTTTCACTAGGATGTCATAAATATCTAGAAAATATTCTCAAAATATTTGACACTCCTAGAATCCTTTGGGATCTTTCGCAATGTCTCGATGTGAACAGCTGTTACCTCAATAAAGATCTCTCCGTGCCCTCATCAGTTCCTATAGTGAGAACATAACTCTTCTGTTTGGAGAAAATGAAAACAGATTTTGTACCTTTTTTGTTGAAGATGATAATGATGGCGGAAATGTTCGACTAAGCATTTGTTTTTTTATAGGTTTCGCCGACCAATAAACAAGCAAAAGGATCACCTGATGGTAAGCAATCAGCGTCGCCCATGGACACCAGAAAGAATAGAGGGGTTACAAGTGCATTACTGGCCTTTTGGGGATTAGGAACTTGAGGAATGTTGAGGATTCAGGGATTGGGGAGATTGGGGAGGGGTAGTTGGACGGTAACCTCACTCACACGACGAAACACAACGCGAGTGTTGTTTCACGTCGGTTTTATATGAGGTCGTGTTTATCGCTCCGGTCAAGCTGGCCCATTTGTGCCGAAGCAGGGCTCTCTCACACTTATTATTATTAAGTTATACTGCTAATTTTGGCTTGGATCTTGTGTAGGTGTATAAGTCACTTAATGATATTTGTGACTCATTCGGATCCTGGGCACAAACTCATTCTGTCCATTACGGACAGAATGGTTACGCATTTTGAAGTTTACAATCTCCGATTCAAAGCCTTTGCTGAGATTATGAAATTAAACCTTTTAATCGAATCCTACTTACTTAATAGAGCTACTGCAATTTACCGATTCTTTGTTAACTTTATATAACACTTTTTTCTTTGTCAACAGTTGCACCTACGGTGAAAGTGCCAAATCAGTTGTTGGGTGCTCCACTGGGCACTGACGTCAAATTAAAGTGTTACGTGGAGGCACATCCAAACACTATCAACTATTGGATCAAGAATAGAGGAGAGATGTTACTTGATGGGTAAGTTGGAGTAAAATATTAATACTATAAGAGAATACCTGAAGCAGAAAGACCCACATGAAGGCACGTCTTTTTTCCCATATCCAGAAATGGACGTAATACAATGCCTTGTTGACCAATCTCAGTAGTCGCACGGAGCCTGGAATTGTGCCCGGTATATGGCAATAGGTTCACCCTCAATTACATGGGACTCATAACATAAATAGTGAAAAGTGGGTGTTACATTGTACGGTGGCATTAAGTGCCGTAATGTGCATCTCTACCTGCCCCTTTGGAGATAAGGCGGGATGTAAAGTTATGTAATGTTTTCGACCCGGGAATCGACTCTCTCGCTTGGCAGTCTCACTCATGACAATACGATCACCGAAAGCAGCAACAATTAATTTTGGATATGAAACGCGATCTTACATAAAAATTTTGTTATACAAACAACGAAACATTTCTAAAATAATTTATTCCTACTTCCATGTTCGTGAAGTGTCAACACAAAAGATCACAAGCGAACATTCAATTATTCGGTTCAGTCGATAACGAGGAAGCTTGCCAATGGGTTTTGCTAAACGAAAATCATAGGAAACTGCTAGTCCAATACAATTTAATTTTCAATATTCAATGTAACTAGTAGTGTTTGGAAATTCCTAGAATTACCTCTTTAAAGAGCCAAGTCTAGATGTTCGTTATTCGTGATCGTTTTGAATTACTGATCAAAATATGCTATCGAAATATCGCGTGTCAAACGTAATATGATACGTAGAAATGATACACCTTTGAAGATATTGAAACTATTTAGACATATTGGTTAAATCAGTCGACTGGGTTTGTCGAATTTTGAGTTTAATTACATGAGCATAGTGGCTACTGACATTTTTTTTAAACGCAGTTTAAAAAAATACTGACTTCAACTTTTTTTCTTCTCTTCTTATAATATCTTCTGATTGACTTCGTTGCGGGAACCAAGACAGATAATCATGTCCCTGGGACGCGCCGGACTTCAGTGTTCCGGTGTTTTCATGGTTGTATCTACTGTAGATCCTGGCTTACAGGAGTTGCAGCGGTTTTAAAAAGTTGTGGCGGGCTTGTCCCATATAAAAATATTGACTTTAAATCCCTCTTTTTTTAAGTTAGTCAATTGATTACCTTCGCGTAAGTGTAACAAAAACTTTTATGAAAACAGCATCAAAATTAGTTCAAGCAATCGTGAGATAGTCGCGCACATATGTACATACGTATACATACATATAATTATAGGTACAGGTAAAACTGAACCTCCTTTTTTGAAGTCGGTTAAAACCTATCTGTTCTGTTCTTAACACACACTTTAACAATTGGTTTACCTCACATTTCTTCTTCAGAAACAAGCCTGATTATTCCTATCTATAATCAAACAAACTTCTGACAAGACTTCACCTCATCTCATCACAATATCCCTTAAAACAACAAACGATTCACACTTGCACGAATACATCACAGAAATGAACTTAACAAACCTCCCTTCGAAATTTAGACCCCTGTTTTGTTTTATAAATACACCCCGTGGCATATTTACTCAACCCACTCATACATTACATTTTATGTATCGACATTCAGTCATTCTGTTGAAATTACTGTGCGTAAATATTTATAAAGTAAAGTGGTACTTTTTGGTAGCTGGATGTATGTACTGTAAATGTTGGGGAATGCTGTCATTAAAGTGTATTTTTAGGTTGGTTTGTGTTATGTATTTGTACTCGTTGTGTATTTAATTTTAACGCAAAACCTTTTTATTATGTTTTAAGTCAGTTGAGCTTAAAGGTGCTGTTACACATGCTATTTTCAAGCACGAAAGCATAACAAACCTCTCTTGGACTCATTGGAGATTAATATGATCATTTCGGGTATGCTTGCGAATCGATAAAGGAGTTCAATATAAGAGCATACCTGTGGCACGGGTGGGCCCCTGTTGGTGGACACGTGTTTAAGCGGTTATACTTAAAACTAACATAACATCACGCCTTTTATCTCCGAAGGGATAGGCAGAGGTATACACTATGACACTGCACAATGTAACACCTACTTTTCACTATATCCAATTCCAGACTCCGTGATACTACTGAGAATTTATAAAAAAACACTACTAGGTAACATAAAACGAGCGAGCCTATCGCTAGTGCGCGTAAACTGCTGAAGCATGTTCGTATTAAGCATACCCAATTGGCCGCTTTTTAGCATTCTATTCTAAAATATTTATCAATCATGCAAATATCACACATGATCTTAGAGCATGTGTTACACTTATTCTAAGGATATCTGACTTATTCTAGGTTGGAGGGATAAGGAAAACTGTCACGATCTTCTAAGTATTTCAAATTCCTAGAAGTGGACATCAAAGAGTTTGTCAACGGATTATGTTAAGATGACAGTTTCAAATCCTTTTACTCAGAAATTATATTGAATTTTTTAGAAGTAAGTTGGTAAACCGTAAACTAGCTTACAGTCAGTCGGTCGCAAGAAAAACGATTGCCGTAGGTTATACTGTAGACCTAACAGGTTGCCGGGCTTCTAGCTCCAAGCATTAGTGGGAACGGGATGGTTTTTAGTCAGTAAAAGTCTTACGCTGTTTCTTTTTTTTGTGACATAAGCCGGTAAACGAGCAGACGGATCACCTGATGGTAAGCAATCGGCGTCGCCTATAGACTCCTGGAACACCAGAGGCGATACAAGGGCGTTACCGGCCTTTTGGGGATTAGGAGTTTGAGGATCGTTGGGTATTCAGGAATTGGGGAGGTTGGGGAAGGGAGGGTAATTGGGCCTCCGGTAACCTCACTCACACGACAAAACAAAACGCAAGCGTTGCTTCACGTCGGTTTTCTATTCGTGCCGAAGCATGGCTCTCCCACACTACTTGCTTCACTACCGGCAGGAGAAATCATTTAATGATTTCCACCTTCAAAAAAAGGTTTTAGTGAGAGGTTATTGACTTATGTGATACCTTAGAACATCAGACCTCATTAGTTGCTTAGTTATCTTGTAAAAACTAAGATTCTCTTAGCTAAGCATCACATTATTGCTCTATTATTGTTCCTTATTTTTTTATTGCTAGGAAATATTTAAACATTAAAGAAGAGGAACTTTGTGAAAGTCTAATATTGTGTGTGTGTCTATGCGCAGTGCTGATTTCTAATCATTAGGTGATCTGTATATTTGTTTCGCCTATACCCCTTATTAATGCAAAAGGCTTTATACAAGGTGTAGTTTTGAAACCGTGTGATTTCTCGGGGGCATGTCACAGAAGTCATAAAGTTAATGTAAGAGAAAATTTCGGGCCAATAGTTAAAAATACGGCTATAATAAATCGTTTAAGTTCGACAGTATTTCAGAATAAGCGACAGAAATGTTTCTTACTGGAGTTTTATAAAATTAGGAATAATATCGATTACGTGTTTGAGTTTGTGTGTGTTAAGCCGCGTTATAAAACTAGTTACAAGACGGCGGTATGTAGTTGGCACTTGCGGATTACCGTAATTTTAAAAAAATTGAAATATTTACCTACAGTTTTTTTAATTGATTCGGACTCAGAATCGATAGGCGAGTTACCTCCTAGAAAATGACGCGGCTTTAAAACAACACCTTGTATAAATTATGTGTTATTTGTTACAGACCCAAGTACACGATAACAGAAGAGAAGTTGTCTTACCAAGTGACGATGTGGCTCACCATCAGGCAGTTCTCAAGAAATGACATTGGTACTTACAACTGTGTGAGTACCAACTCATTAGGAAAGAGCGAGGGCACTCTTAGACTTTATGGTGAGTTGTGTTATTAACTAAATTAACTATAATCGCGTGTTACTCAGGTGAATATACTGAGAAAAGCTCTACTAGTTTCGAACCACAGAGGAGTTCTTCCTCATGAGCAACGTGCGCGGTCGCGACGATGTCGCACAGCTCACTGTTGTGTTATTGTATTTTAACTTTTAACGATTTCTGCTTGTCAAGTCAATATGGAAATTATGTCTGTTGCATTAAAGTTTAATGTCATTTACATGTTCTAATACTATATGGTACAGACAGATTACTGATGGACCAAAATATGAAAAGAGATGTAGAAAGTTGTAGAGAAACACTGTAATTATTACCTTTCTTTTAATTGAGTGCTTCGTTGGTCGAGTGATCGCAAGTGCGACTGCGACTGCTGGGCAAGGGACACTATTCTCGGGCCTGAGTAAAGTATTATTGCGTTTTTTTTTTTTAATCTCAGTAGTAGCACGGAATTGTGCCCGGTATATGGCAACCCCTATTACACGGGACTCATAACATAAATATTGAAAAGTGGGTGTTACATTGTATAGTGGCATAATGTGCACCTCTGTCTTCCCCTTCGGGGCTAAAAGGCGTGATGTTATGTATGATGTTATTAGAGGAATCAAAATATCGGAATTGTACTATCGCCTACTAGTGATGTTAAACGACTTTAATGTTACTAACTAAACTATTTGTTCACAGAAATAAAACTGAACTCATACGCTGAAGATTTCGGCAACCAGATCAGTGTCGCTGGCGGTGAGTGCTTGAATTTATTTTACGTTGACAAGACAATTCCTTCACGGCCTTTTTGTGGTCATTATTGGTGACACAATTTTTCAAGCCGACCCAGTTAAAGTGGTCCAGCTTTTACTGCACAAACGCTTTTATATTGGCTGGGTCATCGGCTAGTGTGCAATGTTAACTAAAATCGCGGGTTACTCACGTGAAGAATATACTGAGAAAAGCTCTACTAGTTTCGAACCACAGAGGGGTTCTTCCTGTCATGTCGTAATTTTACTTAATTTAGTATGTCTCACGATAGTAATTATATTAATACTGGTATCAATGGCTGAATAATTACAATGGAACATTTATTTGCAGGTCTGACAGAGGCAGCTAAAGGAAGTGGTTCAGTCCTCCAGGAGAGAACACTGACTGTTGTGTTGTGTTATGTGATCGCGCTATTATTGTTATCGTAGTAACTGTGACTTTGTACATAATTGTTAGGACGTTGTTTGGGTGTGATGATGGAGTAGACTCTAACAGTTTTTTAAGGAGGCTAATGTCGAAATACTGAAACGCTACTCAATTTTAAGTCGTGCTTAAGTATAGTTCTATCTCTACAAATTCTTTGTGAAATGATAGAGATGGCACGACATTTGAGCACGACTTAAAATTGAGTAACGTTTCAGTATTCCGGTGGCATAAGGGTATCTGTCCACATAGCGTCAACAAGGCGACCTAACGTTGCTTTTATTTTCTGATTTCAATTAACCTATCTCAACCTAAAGTCTGTGGATTAAGATCGACTTTTGAGAGAAACGCCACATGTCAAAAATCGTTCCAAATTCGAAATTGGCAATTTGTTGATAGTTTTTTGTTGCTTCTAAGCAAGATGCAAATATTTGTCATTTGTAGGCCGACTAACTTTTAGATTTTAATACAGTATTCCACATTTGTATACCAGTAATGGTCAAACATGTTGATAGTTGACTCACTGCTCATCTGTACAGCCCATCTGTACAAGTGTTTCTGCAAATATTAATAATAATAAATAATCTTTATCTTATTTTTATTGTTTGTGTTGGATGGATGCGATCGTCAAATGACGCAACGTGAGCAAACCTTAGTTTTAAAAATCTTTTAGGGCTGATTTATCAATCTTCAGTTAATTTTTGACTGTAGAATATAATTGATAGTTGACAGGTTTTAGTACGGAATAATTGTCAAATGTTCATTCCTCTGATAAAATTTAACTGAACATTAAAAAATCGACCATTAAAGTGCAAGTAACTGTGTTTATATTATTACCTTGAGTAGTTTATTGATTTTCAAAATGCATTTTAGTCAATTGGATGAGAAAAAATGTTTTCAAAAAGTACATACAATATAAGTTTGTTAGTTTCGTCATGTGGCATAATAATAATAATTTTTAATACAATAATAATGGGAGAAAGATACGAGTATAAAGTTTGAATTTTATATTTTTATATATGTCACACGATTCTATCATTTTGTTATATTTAAAATAGTGTAGTGCTGAATATTGTTTATAGATAGTATTTAATTTTATTTTATTTTCATTATAGGTATAAGAGGTGCTTTCGCTTTTTCAATTATATTGATATTTTTTCCTACAAAAAATTAATGGTTGTATGGAAAAATGATATTTCATGACTGATTAAAATAGAAAAGCTGTCTTTTACGCGGAACATTCGATTTGTTGAATAAAATCCATTCAGAAGTTTATCGGAAAATCGTATTTTATTTTCTAGGAAATTGGTTGAATTTTCAACCAATACATGATTTATTTTATTTATTTCTTTCCGATCCCATATCATATAAGTATTTGCTGCGTATGAAAAAAACTACATATTTTTTTTTCTTTTTTAACAGACATTCGTTAAGGCCAATTACCAAAGTATTGTCTTACTGTTCTTTTTTTATTCGCTTATTTTCAAACTATATTGAGAGCGACCATATTCATTTTGTCTGCTTTAATTTTTTTTAAAGTCTTACTGTCATACTCTGAGACATTATTATTATTTGAACTATTTCGTATGCACACTATATATCTTACAATGAAACTGTACAGTAACACTATACATAACATAAAATAACATCACGCCTTTTATCCCCGAAGGGGTACGCAGAGGTGCACATTATGCCACTGTACAATGTAACACCCACTTTTCACTATTTATGTTATGAGTCCCATGTAATAGAGGATGAGCCTATTGCTATATACCGGGCACAAATCTAGACTTCGTTAGAATTAACAATCCAGCAATACTTTGCCCGACCCGGGAATTGGACCGGAGACCCCTTGCTCGGTAGTCGCACTTGCGACCATTCAGTCAACGGGGCAGTCATTATTTTTTCAGCATTAAAATTATAAGTCCATACAGCCTACACACCTTACGATTCAAGTGTACACAGTTCGACTATACAATTAAAACTGCGTGTATAGTGTCCGTCTGGTAGATTATTTAAAAACATTAGACACGTATTTTTTAATTTCTTACGGAAACGAATAGTTTCGACGATATATTGATTTGAAATATCGCATGACGTCACTTTTGAGTACGATTTATACTCTAAAATGACGTAGCTAACTCCCACTCCAAAACTTTAATTCGTTTTATCTAAGTATTGTTTTCTTATACGACAAAAAAACGTGTCTAATATTTTTTCATTACCTAACTGACGGACTAATTACATTATTCTATACATTATTTTCATACCCTGTTATCATCCCTATTGCGAAGGGTTGGGTTAAGTAGAAATTAAATTATTGTGGTTATTTTCAATTGTTATACAAGGTGTAGTTTTGAAACCGTCTCATTTCTCGGGGGCATGTCACAGAAGTCATAAACGTTAAATTTAAGAGAAATTTTCGGGCCAATAGTTAAAAATACGGCTATATAATAAATCGTTTTAGTTCTACAGTATTTCAGAATAAACGACAGCAATGTTTCTTATTGAAGTTTTATGGAAATAAGAATAATATCAATTACGTGTTTGAGTTTGTGTGTGTTAAGCCGCGTTATAAAACTAGTTACAAGACGGCGGCGTGTAGTTCGCACTTACGGATTTTCGTAATTTACAGGAAAATTAAAAATATTTACCTACAATTTTTTTAATGTTTCGGACTTAGAATCGATAGCCGAGTTACCTCCTAGAAAATGACGTGGCTTTAAAACAACACCTTGTATAATTGTACAGTTAATTATTTAATGTTACAATTAGATCAAAAATTATTCTTTAACCAACATCACACTCAAAAACGTAAAACGCTTCGAAAAATTGGAGAACCGTAATTCAATTACATTGTTTCAATTCATGTAAATATTATTATGTAAGGTGTATCTTTATGTAAAGACAACGATATAATTAATTGTGAGATTAGATCGTGTATTCGCTTAGACAAAAAACCAGCCAAATTGAAATATTGTTTATGTATAAATAATGAAAAAAAAAAAATGTAAACTCATCGCTCGAATATAAGACTGTTTACAACAAATAAAAAATGTATTAAAATCTTCTTGTTTCATTCGCTTTTTGTGTCTTTTTTATTTCAAGTTGTCTGTAAAGTGAACGTCAGTAAAATTATTAATTAGCAATTCCTGGATTTGAGCTCTGCGTCAGTAATTACGTATACGTAAGTAGTAGTCGCGGAGAACCAAACGGGTAACCGGGGCCCCGGCTCGCCGTGCAGGAGAAGGAACGGGGTGGTTTTTAGTCAGTAAGAGTCTGACACTCCCTCCCGCCTCACCCAGGCAGGAGCAGTCATTCGATGATTTTCCCGCCTTAAAAAAAAATACGAAAGTAGTATACATTGTTTTATGGCATAAACCGGTACACGACCCTACGGATCACCTGATGGTAAGCAATCGTCGTGGCCCATGGACACCTGGAACATCAGAGGCGTTACAAGTGCGTTACCGGCCTTTTGGGGATTGGGAGTTTGAGGATCGTTGGGAATTCAGGAAATGGGGAGATTAGGGAAGGGGAGGGTATTTGGGCCTCCGGTAACCTCACTCACACGACGAAATACAACGCAAGCGTTGCTTCACGTCGGTTTTCTATGAGCCCGTGGTATCACTCCGGTCGAGCCGGCCCATTCTTGCCGAAGCATGGCTCTCCCACACTTCATACATTATTTTTCTTCACTCACTTCAAATATTATACATATATTCATTGAACGAGATACTCAAGTTGAAAAATACAATCTGTCATGCTTGTTTAAGTGGTATCCATACTAGTGAAAGTAAGTGTATGTGTCTGTTTATTTGTCCACCTTTCGCTGTTAAACAAAGCGCCGATTAAATGTGATATTTTTAAGTGGAGATAGTTGAAGGCATAGAGAGTTAATTAGGCTTAAACATCACGCTACAGTAAATAGGAGCAGTGGATGAAATAGCACGGTAGGTGGTAGTACATAATACAGGTTTGAACCAAATGTAATATCCATCCTATTCTCATTGAGATTGACAAACATGATGTTTCTTACGATGTGTAAGAAAGACAAACAAACAAATGATGTTTTAGATATAAAATTGGTTGGGATTTTGACTTTCTTCAGAAGACGCTAAAGGTAACTGTAGTGGTGGTAAAATTTCAATCACTTACCACCGGAGGATACAATATCTGCTTGATACTATAAATATCAATTGATATCAATTCAATATTTTTAAACATAACATAACATTACGCCTATTATCCCCGAAGAGGCAGGCAGAGGTGCACATTACGGTATTAAATACCACAGTACAATGTAACACCCAGTTTTCATTATTATGTTATGAGTCCCATGTAGTAGGGGGTGAGCCTATTGCCATATATAGGGGCAAATTTCCAGATTCCGTGCTACTACTGAGATTTTTTTCAAAAACTCAGAATATTTTGCACCATTAGGGAATCGAACCCGAGACCTCTTGCCCGGCAATTAAGTATTCTATACTCAATAAACTAGCAAAGAATATTCTAGAAACAACAAATAAAAAAAATCAAAGCGATAAAAATAATTCATTTGACACGCAAAATGGATTATAATAATCGCCACATAAAAAGTATAAACTCAAATCGGAAAAGAAAATAAATTAAGCTGACATTCACACCGAAGCGGGCTTCAAAAGTGGAATCATTAAAACACATATAATGCCAAACGCGACTTATACCTACGTACGTTATAATATATTTTCGCACGAAACACTTGAATACTTTACAATACCTGAACGTGACCGCGTTAAGAAAATGCCGAGTCATTTCCTTTTGTTTTTTCACGTCGACTTTAAAGGCTTTATATTAAGTTCTATTATTGAACAAGGTTTTTTAATGATTTCAGATTCAAGAATATAATGACCATATCTTAAGTTTTTAATGAGATAATAGTAGAAATGGTTTTGAATCGATTGTTTATTATAATAAAAATATTTTTTAGAAAATGTACCCATAATGTAGGATGCGTTAATTATTA